ATTGCTCACGCTCAGGCTGTTGGAGTCTACTCCAGGTGGGAGATTGATTCCATATAGGCGTTCACCAAAGGCCTGAAGTTAAATTCACACTAAGCCTGTTGTCATGCTCAGGGCATTTGAGCTGCATCCAGATGTGGTAAATCAGAGCCCATTTACTTCTGAGTCACGTGATCCACCAACACAAGGCATCCCTGCCCATGGGAACCACATACATACACATATATATCTATAGGATCTAGTTTCACTTTTGCTCCTAATGTTGGCCCAGATTTGTATGTTTCATGACCTTGTTTACCTACGGAGAGTTTGAAGTCATCCAGGTCATAGTTGTCTCAAAGGTGCTTTTTCCAAAAGGCAACTGGACTCTGTTTTTGGGAGGAGGAGGAGGAGGATGAGAGGAAGAGGACGAAGAAGAAGAGAGGAGGAGGAAGAAGAGGAGGAGGAGGAGGAGGAGGAGAGGAGGAGAAGAGGAAGAAGAAGAAGAGGAGGAGGAGGAGGAGGAGAAGAGGAAGAAGAAGAGGAGAGGAGGAGGGAGGTGGGGGAAGAGGAGGAGGAGGAGAGGAAGAGGAGGAGGAGGAGAAGAGAAGAAGAAGAAGAGAGGAGGAGGGGGTGGGGGAAGAGGAGGAGGATGAGAGGAAGAGGAGGAGGGAGGAGGAGGAGGAGGAGAGGAGAAGAGGAAGAAGAAGAGGAGGAGGTTGAGAGGAAGAAGAGGAAGAAGAGGAAGTGGAAGAGGAGAGGAGGAGGATGAGAGGAAGAAGACGAAGAGGAAGAGGAGGAGGAGGAGAAGAGGAAGAAGAAGAAAAAGAGGAAGAGGAGAAAGGAGGAGGAGGAGGAGGAGAAGAGAAGAAGGAGGAGGAGGAGAAGGAAGAGAGGAGGAGGAGAAGGAGAAGAAGAGGAGGAGAAGAGGAGGAGGAGGAGAAGGTGGTGATGTAGGTTTTCCTGCCTAAGCAGGGGGTTGGACTAGAAGACCTCCAAGGTCCCTTCCAACTCTGTTATCCTATCCTATCCTATCCTATCCTATCCTATCCTATCCTATTCTATCCTATCCTATCCTATCATGAAGAAGGAGAAGGAGAAGAGGAGGAGGAGAAAGAAGCAACAGCAGCTGCTTCATCAGTTCTGGCTGGCTGGGAGTGGGTGGGACTGGGACATGGAGCATCCAGCCAGCCAGAACTGAAAAAGTTTTTTGGATGAGAAGCGAAACCTCATCTTCTTCCTCAAACGGGGGTGGGGGGAACCCCATAGTCCAGTGGCCTTTTGAGATGATCCTGTTTGGGCTGCAAACATAGGAAAAAGTTGCATGTTGACTTGCGTTTGCAAAGAAGAACAACTTGACGCCTTGCAAATAACGTTTTCCTTTGTTCATAGACACAATGCATTCCTATGTCACATTGTGGCTGGGAACGATTGCAAAAAATAAATAAGATGTTTTCCTGCAAATATAGGCTCTGGCTTTGTTGTTTGTTTGGTTTTTTTCCTGGATCAAGTGTGGTTCTATTGGTTGCGACAGAAATTGACCCACTGGCCTGACGTTGTAAGCCGAGAGTGACCGTTGACCCAAAGTCACCCAGCCGGCTTTTAAGCCTAAAGCGAGACAGGAATTCACCATCTCCTGTTTTCCAAGCTTGGTGCCTTCACCACAAGAGACCTAACTGGCTTGAACGACTACAAAGTCAAGACACGACTGTTCTTCCTGTTAACTGTTTTGTCACACATATTTTGCAGCCTATAGATGAGAGGTCAATAGTTTGTAAACGGATGTACTACTTTAAAAACAAATTTTAGGGGGCGGGGGCTGTTTTGCAAGGGCTGGGAATCAGTGGCGGATTGCTCCCACTTCAGGTGGCGGGAAGCTCCGCCTACCCACCCAGATCAGGGTGAAATGCTCCCGGTTCGGACCAGATCAGTAGCGATGGAGGCGGGTGATTCGGAGAACCGGTAGCAAAAATCCCTGCCCCCCCTCCCCCCATTGCCCAGCTGAGCCACGCAATCATCAGAGGCTTTTTTAAAAATTATTTTTAAAAGCATTTTTCTATAACCTCTTTGGCCGAAAAAATGCTTTTAAAAGTAAAAAAAAAAAAAAAAAAGCCTCTGACGATCGCACAGCTCAGCTGGGATCGTCAGAGGCTTTTAAAAGCATTTTCTTCCACAACCTCTTCCGCCGAAGAGGTTATAGAAAAAATGTTTTTAAAAGGAAAAAAAAGCCTCCGCCGATCAGGCAAGTCAGCTGGGATCGTCAGAGCCTTTTGAAAGCATTTTTTCTACAACCTCTTCAGAGGTTGTAGAAAAAATGCTTTGAAAAGCCTCTGACGATCCCAGCTGAGCCGCGCGATCATCAGAGAGGCTTTTTTTTTTTTACTTTTAAAAGCATTTTTTCAGCCGAAGAGGTTGTATAAAAAAATGCTTTTAAAGGTTAAAAAAAGAGCCTCTGATGTGTGTGGCTCAGCTGGGCAATGGGGGGGGGGGCCGCAGGGATTTTTGCTACTGGTTCTCCGAACAACTCGCCTCCATCGCTACTGGATTGGGCGATCCAGTCCGAACCGGGAGCATTTCACCCTGAGGAGACCCCCTTAACTCCTGGTGGGAGTTCTGTGAATTCTTTGAAACAGCACGGCTGATAAAGCGGCACTGTAGCTTTAAGGGGTCTGGCGTTTAATAACACAGTTGCATTGCAACACAGATTTTCTGATCCTCCTAGGGGAAGAGTTCGGAAAGATTGTTAGACACAAATGGCCCCCGTAACAAAAAGAGTTCAACGTGATTTATGAACTCACACCTTATCCCGGGGCAAAAACTACTCCAGGGAAGCTGCTGCGTTCCAGCACTTCAAATGTACTGATTTGCCGTTGGACAAAAAAAACCTAGGATGCAGCTTCCCGGCCCTTCACCCATTAAATCTGGCCCTGGGAGGATCTCATTCCGGAAGTATTTTCTTTCTCGCTTTCATTCGGCGAGATCAGCTCCCTTGTTTTCCAGCAAGCGGGAAAGACACTCCATCCTATCCTGCAAGAGGAAAACCTCTGATCTGCTAGTTTTAAAAAAAAGTTGCTTTGGGGGGGAAAACAAAATAAAACAAAACAAAGTCACTGTTGTGTTTTTTTTTTTTTTTGCCGAGGGATTGCAGATCTCTCTGCCTGCCTTCTAGGTTGCAGCTGGGAGAGTCCCTTTGCCGAATGTTGACATCCAAATCCTACCAGCCAACAATTCCGCTTTTCTCTTGCTCGTTCCGCCTAGTCAGCAGAACAAACATCTGGAAGGACAAGGCTGAAAGGACATGCTCAAGGAAAGAAACCCGGGCCATCCTTATAAGTCTTTTTCCCACCCGCCAGAAAATAACTTCTCCTGTTAATATGTATTGAGCGGAGGGTTGGATTCGCACATGGCCTCAAGCTATTATTTGCTGAAGGAGGACACAAGTTGAATAAACCAGAGTTGGTTAGGGCTCTTGTCAATCTGGGTTTGCAAATTACTATCTGCTAGTACTAGCTTTCCCTGAGGAGTTAGACCAATCTGCAACTCATATTTGTAACTTTTGTCACAGAACTCAAGATTTGCAAAAGAAACACGTATTCAGGCTCCCCACGGTCTGAAAAGTCCAAAACACATTCAATTTTCAAATACGAGCTTTCCCTGAGGAGTTAGACCGAACTGTATCTCACAGTTGGCAGTAGGACTCAATTCAACCAGAAATCGGAATTTTTGACACAGAACTCAGATTTGCATATTCTTGCTTTTGCCCGTAAAATCAACCCAACGGCTGCGATAACTTAGCGCACATTGCACCACTTAGTGCCCATTGCAGGAAGTCTTAGCGAAGGAGTATAACAAAATTACGACAAACCCACTTTTTTATTTCTGTGCACACTGATCTTCCTCATCTATCCATTAGCAGGCTTAAATCCCTCTCTGGCACTTGCTCAACCGCCGTCTTAACAACTTTGACATCAACACACAGTGGAAAGCCAAATGGGCCGCTGAACGCCCAGATGTAGGCGCGTTACGTAGAATGGCCCTACCACAAAAGGTGCCAGGTTTTGACCTTCCTCGCCAAGCACTGGTCAACTCAGAACAGGATCCGTACCCAGCATGGTGTCTGCCAGGACTCACTGTTTAAATGTGGGTCTTGTCTCTACCCCTCAGTGTGACTGCGGTGCTCCTCGACAAACTATCCATCACACTGTATCCAAATGTCCATCAATAGCTTAAAGATAAAGGTAAAGGTTCCCCTCGCACATACATGCTAGTCGTTCCTGACTCTAGGGGGCAGTGCTCATCTCCGTTTCAAAGCCGAAGAGCCAGCGCTGTCCGAAGACGTCTCCGTGGTCATGTGGCCGGCATGATTCAACACCAAAGGCGCACGGAACGCTGTGACCTTCCCACCAAAGGTGGTCCCTATTTTTTCTACTTGCATTTTTTACCTGCTTTCGAACTGCTAGGTTGGCAGAAGCTGGGACAATTAACAGGAGCTCACTCCGTTACGCGGCGCTAGGGATTCGAACTGCTGAACTGCCGACCTTTTGATCGACAAGCTCAGAGTCTTAGCCACGGAGCCACTGCGTCCTTGTAATCGAGAGCGTACACATTACACCAATGTCTGGTTTTTTTTTTTTAACATAGACTGCCCTGTCCTTAAATGGCTCGGTGGACTGGATATTAACATTTGAACCACTATAAGTCCGTGTATTTGCCATACGTTAAGTAAATAAATAAACTTAGCGCAACAGAGTCCACGAGACCGATGAATTACAGATATCTTAGTGATCTCAAGGACCTATGAATCCTTCTGCTGGGTTTGGCCATAACATTCTGCATTAGAAGCCTTAGCTAGGAGGAGGTAAACCAGGTTGCATCCTAGCCACCATTTCAAAAGCACACTCCTTATCATTCTGGAGATGTGCAAAAGAAGCTGCATCTTTGTCAACATGCACTGGGCAGCCCAAAAGCAGCCAGGGTAATAGGTATCTCGCGCAGATCGATTACCACCTTCCACCTTGACTTACCCTTTTTGAATTCCTCCAGCATGGCGTCCAGCTTGGTGTCATGGAAGACAAAATGGACAGGGTGGTTGTAGAACTTGGTGATCGTCTTGAGGGTGGTGCAGTCATCAGGATCCACAAAAGCCAAGTCCTTGATGTACAGGATATCCACAATGTTGGACCGTTCTTCTTCAAAGACTGGGATACGGGTGTAACCACTTTCCATGATTTCAGACATGGTGTTGAAATCCAAGATGGCGTCACTGTTGATCATGAAGCAGTCGTGAATTGGGGTCATGACGTCCTCCACCGTCTTGGTCCGAAGCTCCAGGGCTCCCTGGATCATGTTCAGCTCCTCCTTGACCAGATCGTTGTAAGGTTCCGTAATCTTCAACATCTCCATCAGCTTCTCCCGGTTGTAGACGGTGCCGATTTCTTGACCCAACAGGAAGTCTAGGATCTTGCTAATCGGGTAGGAAATGGGGAAGGTCAAGAGCATGAAAATCTTGGTGAGGATGATGGTGTTGGCCCCCACAGCTAAACCGTGGCGAGAGCAGAGCGCCTGGGGCACGATCTCCCCGAAGATCACGATGCTGGAGGTGGACGCAATGACGGCCACCAAGCCGGATCCTATCAGGTCATCCAGGAGGATGGTAAGGGTGGTGTTGACCAAGACGTTACCCAATAGGAGGGAGCACAGCAAATAGTTGCCCTTGCGACGGATGGGCTCGATCTTGCGGGCGTAACGCTTCTCCGTCTCGCTGCCGCAGTTCTGGACGATGCGCAGCTCCATGGGATCCAACGCCATCAGCCCCAAGTTGAGCCCGCTGAACATACCGGAGAGCACCAGCAGGGCCACCAGGAGCAAGATCTGGAGCCACAAAGGGAGCAAGTGCTGCTTCCCCTCCAGCACGCGCAGGAAAGCATCCTCGCCTTCCAGGCGCAGCCAAGGCCGGTTAGGATCGCTCCGCGCGCAGAGGACGTAGAGCTTGGATCGCTCGGCTTTGCGCAGCCGTTGGATTTTGACGCCGATCAGGGCCGAAGTGGGGCGGCTGGGGCCGGCGTGAGCATGCACGACCAAGTCTTGGCTTTTCTCCGGGCATGTGGCGTTGGTAGCCCGGGGGGACCAAGTAGCGTTGGGGCCGGCTTCGGCGAAATAGACCGCCTGGTAAACGCGGGGGCTCAAATCCAGCCCGTAAAGGCGCAACACGATCTCTGCACCTTCCTGCACCTGCAACACGCCCGACGTCGCTTCTGCCTCCGGCTCCTCCGGTTCGGACAGCGGCCGGTCGGTGCGCTCCAGCCTCATGCCCAGCACCACGGGGCCCCGGCGGTCGAAGGAAGAAGAGCCGGCACGGCCGGGGCTCAGCAGAAGGAGCAAAAGGGGCAGAAGAAGCAGCCTTCCCGGCAAGGGGAGAGAAGAACCGGCCTCGTCCCCGGAACCCTGCAAGGTCCCCGGCCGGCGCAGCGCCATGTTCCGCGCCTCCCTTGGCTCTGCAGCTGCAGAGAGCGCGGAGCTGCCAGGGGGGTTTTTCTTTTTTCTTTTGGTTGGGCGCACCGTGGTAGGAGGGGTTTCGGCGCGTCACGGGCTCGGCTGCTTTGCATACGGCACGCCCTCCTCCCTCCCTCCCTCCCTCCCTCCTTCGGGGGCGTGTCCTTAAGGTGGGCTGGGGTTTTTTTTTTTCTTCTTCTTTTTTTTTTTCTTAAGGAGGCGCCCGGCTTGGAAACGGTGCGGAGAGCCGCTATTGCAGCCTGTGAAGAGGGGAACTTGTGCCTAAAGGGGTGGAAAAAGGAAAAGGAAAAGGAAAAGGGGAGGGGGGGGGAAATGGCATTTTCTGCACGGGGTTGGACTCGAACTAGGACCGAGACAACCCGTTTCCCCCCCCTCCTTCCCTCCCCAGTCTGGGATTCGAACTAGGACCGGGACACTCCGGGTTCAAGTCTCCCTCCTTCCTTCCCAGCCTGGGATTCGAACTAGGACTAGGACAACCCGTCTTCACCCCCCCACTTCCCAGTCTGGGATTCGAACTAGGACCGGGACAGTCCGGGTTCAAGTCTCCCTCCCTCCGACGCCTATAGGTGCAGCCACCTTGCTTTGCCCGTTGCGTTGCTTTGCAAATCCGGTCATTATCATAAACCGCGATGCAATTTGCCCGCTTATTTAATTTAACCTGACATGTGAACCCGGCTTAATGGAGGCTTAGTCGAGAGCTACGACACACGTACACCCGCACCCACGGACAGACACACACGCACACACACAGGATGGATGGATATAGTTAGAAGATAGATATAGAGATGATAGATAGATAGATAGATAGATAGATGGATGGATGGATGGATGGATGGATAGATAGATAGATAGATAGATAGATAGATAGATAGATAGATAGATAGATAGATAGATAGATGATAGATAGATGATAGATAGACATAGAGATGATAGAGAGATAGATATAGATGATAGATAGATAGATGATAGATATAGAGATGATAGATAGATAGATGATAGATAGATAGATATAGAGATGATAGATAGATATAGATAGATAAAGAGATGTGTGTGAGAGAGATGATGAGAGAGAGATGATAGATAGATAAAGAGATGATAGATAGAGATGATAGATAAAGAGATGATAGATAGATGATAGATAGATATAGAGATGATAGATAGATAGATAGAGATAGATAGATAAAGAGATGTGTTTGTGAGAGATGATAGATATAGAGATGATAGATAGATAAAGAGAGATGATAGAGATGATAGATAAAGAGATGATGAGCGAGAGAGATGATAGATAGATAGATATAGAGATGATAGATAGATGATAGGAAGAAGGAAGGAACAAATGAAAGAAAAAAGAGGAAAAGAAAGAAGAAAGGAAGGAAGGAAAGAAAAAAGAAAGAAAGGAAGGAAGAAAGAAAGAAGAAAGAATTCTTTATTGGCCAAGTGTGATTGAACACAAGGAGGGAAAGACTGAAATTTGCTGGTGTTTTGCTGCTATGGTTCTTCATTTAATTAGCGTCTCTCGGCCTTTTCCTTTGATGGCTGTGAAAATCTCTACAGACCCCTCGCATCCTGGACATCAACTCTTCCAACTCCTACCCTCAAAACGATGCTGTAAACTAGAGCACTGCACACCAGAACAACTAGACACAAGGACAGTTTCCCCCCCCCCCATGCCATCACTCTGCTAAACAACGAATTCCCACAACACTGTCAAATAATTTACTAAACACTCTATTACTAGTCGTCTTCTCTTCCTTCCTAGTATCTCTCTCTTCCTACTTATGACTATAACCATGTTGCTTGTATCTTTCAATTATGCTGTTTTTATTTGTTTCCTAGTACGATTTGACAGCTTATTAGTAACCTTGACTATCACTAAGTGTTGTATCTTTTGATTCTCGATGAATGTATTTTATTCTCTTTATGTACAATGAGAACTTATGCACCAAAGACAAATTCCTTGTGTGTCCAATCACACTTGGACACACTTGGCCAATAAAGAATTCTATTCTGTTCTGTTCTGTTCTGTTCTGTTCTGTTCTGTTCTGTGCTATGCCATGCTATGCCATGCCATATTTATCATTCTATTCTATTCTATTCTATTCTATTCTATTCTATTCTATTCTATTCTATTCTATTCTATTCTATTCTATTCTATTCCATTCCATTCCATTCCATTCCATTCCATATTATTATTCCATTCCATTCCATTCCATTCCATTCCATTCCATTCCATTCCATTCCATTCCATTCCATTCTAATTCTATTCTATTCTATTCTATTCTATTCTATTCTATTCTATTCTATTCTATTCATTTCAGTGAAAGTATTTTGATTTGCGCTGCGTGACCCCTGCTGTGCAAGATTATTAAGCAATTAGGTCAATGATCCACCATCTGTATCCTTATTTGATCCCTGCCATCCAAACCCAGCAAGGGGCATCCAAAAACAGGTAAAACTCCCCCGGGAAAACAAATATAAAAATCAGTTGTCTGTCTTGGCCTGAGAACTGAACAGCCGGATGAGGCTGAGCTAAGATTCTGAAAAAGAGACCCCCAAGGAATTGCCCAAATCCTTACTACTTTGACCTTTGTCCCAGGGGTGAAATGAAATCCCAGCAGGTTCTAACAGGTTCTGGAGAACCTGTAGCGGAAATTTTGAGTAGTTCAGAGAAACCGGCAAATACCATCTCTGGCTGGCCCCAGAGTGGGGTGGGAATGGAGATTTTGGAATATCCTTCCCCCAAGAGGGGAAGGAATGGAGATTTTGCAGTATCCTTCCCCTGGAGTGGGGTGGGAATGGAGATTTTGAATATCCTTCCCCACCAAGCCATGCCCACAGAACCGGTAGGGAAAAATTTTGGATTTCACCCCTGAATTATGGAGACGTATAGAAAACATATATCTTTGCAAAAGCAATGGGAAATTGGGTTTATGTTAAAGTCTTCCAGTATTTGAGGGGCTGCCACAAAGAAGAAGGGGGTCAAATTATTCTCCAAAGCACCAGACGGCAGGACATGAAACAATGGTTGGAAACTAATCAAAGAGAAGCAACCTGGAATTAAGGAGAAACTTCCTAACAGGGAGGACAATTAACCAGTGGAACTGCGTGCCACCAGAAATCGTGAGCGCTCCAACACTGGAGGTTTTTAAGAAGAGACTGGACTCTTGTCTGAGATTGTATAGGTTCTCCTGCTTGAGCAGGGGGCTGGACTAGAAGACCTCCAAGGTCCCTTCCAGATCACTCTATTCAAAAGATGAAACCCCCTGCCTGTATGCTTGGTCTCCCGAACTCTCTGTCTTTTGCAATTTTATAATATTGTTTTACATTTTTTTTAAAAAAATCTTTATTTGGTTTTTAATGTTTTACTATACAGGTAGACCTTAAATTACGACCTCAGTTGGAGCCCAAAATTTCTGTTGCTAAGTGAGACGTGTCGAGTGAGTTTTGCCTCATTTTTACAACCTTTTTTTTTTAAATTTTGGCCGCTTGTTTGTTAAGTGAATCTGGCTTCCCTGTTGACTTTGTTTGTCAGAAGGCCAGAAAAGATGATCGCGTGACTCATACACACCCCGTCCCCGGGACATTGCGACGGTCACAAGTATGAGTCAGTTGTCAAGCATCTGAATTTTGGCCACGCGACCCTGCTGCATGGGTTGTCAGTGGGAAAAACGGTCACATCACTGTTTTCAACGACGTCATCGTAACTTTGAACGGTCGCTAAATGAACTAGTGGTAAGTCAAGGACTACCTGTGTGGATTCAATGGGACCACCGGCCAGAGCCCATCTGTGAGAGAGATGGGCGATTAAAAAGTTTGATATATAAATGAATCAATAAATAAAATACATCTGGAGTCAACTACAGGAAAGTTTTATCTTGGTTTCTCGAGTGACCTGCTAGAGAGCAGCTAACCTTGGCTTGATCTTAAGAGTGCTTGAACTTGGTTAGTAGGTGACAAGGATAGGCAGGAGAATAAATAAAAATGAATGGGAGGGGGTACAACATCAGAAAAGGAATAAAGAAACCTAAAAAAAGGATTAGGCAGAAGGAGACCCCCCCACTTGTTGTGGGAGCAGATTCGGACAGTGAGGAGGTTGGGGAGGAACAGTCCTGGAGTCTGGGGAGGGCTCTGATGAGGGCTCTGCATCGGAGGCAGAGAGGGAGCCAGGGCCCTATGCCAGTTATCAGCTGCCTTCGGAGTCAGACATCAGTGAGGCAGAGGAACAGCTGGAGCCTGTTCCCAGTGTGCGCATGCACAGAGTTGCCAGACGAAGGGAAGAGCTAAAGAACAAGGGTCGACTAGGGAGTAAGGCCACAGGTGGACGATGAAGGGCCCCTCCCAGAGGGAATAAAACAGGAGCGAACAGGGAGTGGAGTTTGCAGGAGACCATTCATTCCTGCATTCTTGCCAAGCATTGCGGCGTCTGAAAGATATCGGCCTGGCCACTCTCCAAGCCTGATAAAGGTCGGTCATGGTGAACTATCTTGAAAAGCTATTGGAGAGGAAAGACTTTGCTGGAGAGGAATTCACCATAAATTAAATAAAAGGGGTTTATCGGGACGAGGACTCGGCTTCGTGCTGCTGCGGAAGCCTAGGTCAAAATAGCACTCCCCTCCCGCAATAGTCTTGATTCAAAGGAGTGATTTTATTGCTACTGACATTTTAATTGATTATCTGCCATCAAGCCAGTGCTGACTCTTGGGGACACTTAGGTAGATATTTCTCCAGGAATATCTGGATCCTTCAGGTCTTACAACTGCTCCCCCGTCACCACGGTAAAACTGAGTCCATCCACTTTGCTGCCATACTCCTCCTTTTCTCCTCTTTCCTTCCCCCTTTCCCAACATTACAGACTTCTCAAGAGAGCTTTGCATAATCTGCTCCAGGTAGGAACAGGGAAGGCGGTAATGGCGGGAAGGACGATAAGTGCCAAGCCTAGAAAGTCTTCTCATGTTTTCTCGGCAGAAAGTAGAACGAAACAGTTCATGGAGGAAGCGAAAAGCATCCCTTGGGAA